TTGAGGTAAGAAAACCATTTCTATTTCTTGTGTAAATTCAGTATGTTGACCTCCTGCATTCTGTGAGATCAACTAAAATAAGTGTATAGTTCAAGAGCTATGAGATTTTGAATGTTGATTCTAATATTTAACAGTTAGCAAGAACTCCTCAGTTTCAATGTGTTAAATATACGTTGCATACTGTATCAGATTTTTTTTTACAGTTTGCCTTTCAGCTGTAAAGAGCCCATGTTCTGCTTTGAGGTTTTCTCTGTCTTTTAGTGTTATATAGCTGCTTTTCATGCATGTTAAAGGTCGGTAAACTTCAAAGCCTTAAGTCCACACTAAATGAAGTTCTTCTCTTCCACAGAAAACACTTTTCTTTACTTGCCTGGAACACCTTATTTGAATTGCAGCCTTTTCTTGTGTTTTTTATCTACGTCATCATGTAACACATTGACTTAACAGCTGCTTCGCGGCTAGTCTGGCCCTCAAACAAAGATTGAGCTGCTTGAGCACAGTTCATAAAAAGATGGATCATTTCAGACAGAGGCTGAGAAGAGCAGCTGCAGCATGTACAGTGTTAGAAACGTAGTGTTTGTGTGTTTAAACATTATAGCAGGTAAACATATACTAGTAGAGCCCAAAGTACAATTACGAAACGACACATGAGCATTTTATGAGTTCTTTAATTAGACAATCATGAATCATGACATTAAGACTTCACTAGCACAAACATCATTGACATTAAACTTGTGTAATGACAGCAGTGATCAGGAAAACTGTTTAAATCTATGCGTCAGAATTCATTCTTTACCCTGGAAAAGCATCCTGTTTTAGTTCATGTAGTTTGGCACCCTTACCTCAATGTTCACTTACTAGCTTTTTTCCAGAGCTTGCAAGGTTTTTTTTTTTTTAACTGTAGCTAGTAAATGGACTAGAGATCTTTTTTTGTTGGCTGAATTCCATTTGATTTAACTCTTTAAAATTATGTTCTCTTTCGCAGTAATTTCAGCTGTGTCTAATCTATACATTCAGTGCCTGTTTCAGTAGCTAGACCTGTGACATCTGGTACAACAGCTCTCCTTTTCTCTACTTTGACAGATGTTCTACATTTTCATTGTCAAAAAAATTCTTCTTTAAGTTGTTGGTGAAGATCACACTGGGTGTTGGTGTTGGAAAGAGACAAAGACAGCAACAGCATTGTATTTTTATGTGTATTCACAGCTTTTCTGTTTGTCATAAATGCATGTTGCTTCCAATTGATTTCATTACCAGGATCCTAACAACAACAGGGTTGGACAGTGGCTCAATGAAACATCTAATGGTAAAGTACTGGTGCGTGCTTACCACTTAAACTCTGAGGCCCGTGAAGGTACCTACAAAGTCATTGTGTCCATTGGTGAAGATAAAATAGAGCACTCGTTCACAGTGGAGAAGTATGGTAAGTTTGGGAGATTGTTTTTGCGTGTCAGTTCTGTCCATTTATAATGAAGTACAAATGCTAATATGCATGTTTTGTCCACAGTTTTGCCTAAATTTGAAGCAACATTAAATGTAAGTGAGGAAGTGAGTATTGGGAGCCAAGAAATCTCTGCTACAGTATGTGCAAAGTAAGTAAAAGGCCTTTTTATGACAAATAAAATCTAAAGTAGGTCTGGAGAAGTGAATAAGTGATCGATTGTTTCTGTTTTATTTAATTAGGTACACATATGGACAGCCTGTGCCAGGATCTGCTACAGTTAAGATGTGCCGACCTCTTTATCGCTATCTTTATGGTTCTGACCTCGAGGATGAAGAATTAACTCCCCCCTGCACCACAGAGATAAAGCAGGTATAGGTTCTCACCGGGTTCTCCGGCTTCCTCCCACAGTCCAAAGACATGCTGAGGCTATCAGAAGTGAATTAAAACAAGTGCCATGATATACTGCATGCACTGTCACCTCACAGCTAGAAGGTCCTGGGTTTGAATCTAGGCCTGGGATCTTTCTGTGTGCAGTTTGCATGTTCTCCCTGTGTCTGCGTGGGTTCTCAACAGGTTTTCCAGCTTCCTCCCACAATCCAAAGACATGTTGAGGTTAATTGGTGATTCTAAATTGTCCGTCGGTGTGAATGTGAGTGTGCTTGGTTGTCTGTCTC